ACTGGGCACACTTGAGCCCTTCCAAGGGGCGGGACACCAGAGGCTTCTGTCCTACAGTCACCTTTCCTACAATGGAGCCCAGGGCTGGGCCGGGTCAGCCACGATCCCAGACCCTAAGATTTGGTCAAAAGCAGGGCACTTAAGCTCACATTCAGAGACATGGGTACAATTGTGCCCCTTCCAAACTAAGAAGGCCACGACGGCACCCACTGATGTCTCCTGGCAATGCCAAGACAGCCCACACTTCATCTTGTGCTCTGGCACCGCCACCACCCTCTCCCTCCCCACCAAATCTAGGCGCCAGATCCGATCCCCTTGGCCAGGAGAGCCTCAGGCTGAGAGGAGGAAACAGAGGAGGGGGCGAGAGGCCAAGGGATCCGTGAGGCTACCTCTCTGGTCGTCCAGGTCGGCCTCTGTCCCCGAGCGACCCTGGCCAACCAGGACCAGCGGTGGGAAGAGGCGCCCAGCTATCGCCCGCAAGGGGTCAAATGATTGCATTTGGGTGGGTGCTCGCCGACATATTTGCTGAGTAAACCTCCCTCGCTGGGCTGAAGGCGAATCCCCGTTGATAAATCCATCATTACTGTTCGGATTCAGGGAAGCAGCCGCGCCACTAAATTCATCTTACATTTGTAGCGCTTTAATAGACATTTATTAAATGCTTTTAGAGAGAGGCATGGGGCGCGTGATTACATCCTAGTTATAGACAGAACATAAAGACCCACGTTAACACCCATTTGCAGGAAGGAAGGAAAAGGTGGGGAGGGGGTGGTAAGGCAGAGAGATGAAGTGAGGAGAGGCGAGGAGAGATGGGGCGGGCAGGGACACGGTGTCCAGGCGTTATTAACGAGGGCTGTCTGGCGGGAGTAAGGCTAGAGCCTTGGGAAGTTGCAGGCTCTGGAGAGAAGTACTAGCTCCCCTCGCAGTTCCTGGGGCTTCCCTTCCCTTGTCCCCCACCCACAGTCCCCGCGTGGTGGACTCTCTCTGCCAGGGAACAAGGGACGCCGCATTGCCGACCCTTTCTGTCCCTCCAACCCCCACTGCTTCTTCACTTTATTCCAGGCCTCTCCAACTTCGACCCTTTGGAGTGGCCAAACCAGAAAGAGAAGAAAGGAAGTCCCCACATGCCCAGGACTCCAAGAACCCCTTTAAAGCAACCTCTTCACCCGACATCACCCCCAACCCAGACAGCAACAGAGCTGGGCCAGGCCTCCTGCATCACAAAGCAGACGCCCAGGCCACCGGGCGGTGTAGATCTGCTTGCTCAGAGGGCTCCTTGGCCTGGCTGTCTTTGCGGAAGGGCCCCCTGCTCTACGCCAGGAGGAAGCCATGCCACTGTCGTGCCTTCGATCATCTCGTGCCTGGGAACTTGCCCTGGACTTGCCCCGCGCCCCCCGACCTCATCCTCAGTGAGCTAGTCCTGTAGGGATGCCTGGGCCTGAAAGGGCCTAACGCCTTCCTGAGGGCCCCATTAGCTTCGCCTAAAAGCCCAGTCCCCGAGCTCTGCCGGCTCTGCGTGCGCTCTCACCGCGCCCTCGATCCCCCGGGACGCAGCCACCAACCCTGGCCGGGACAGCAGGACTCCGGGCCCTCCCTGGCTCTTGGTAAAGAACACTTCCGCTATCTCAAAGTTGCCATAAGAAAATAAATACAAGTGACATTGTACTGGGCCAAAGCTCATTAGTTCGTTGTCCAGGCCTAATAAAGGAACAGAAGCGCAAATTATAGAGTTCAGCTTCAACACACGCTCTGTCACCCGAGATCAGCGCACCGCGAGCCTGATTCCAATTGCTCCGAACTTGCTGCGCAGTTCGTCCCCCACCCCCTCCTCTCAAGCAGGAGGTTGGGTGGAAAAATATAGTTCCAAAGGGGGTAATGATCAAGCTTTTCCTCTCGGAAGCCTGCGCCACCTCATTTCCCATCAGTAATCCCAATAAAATTAACGTCGTGGCTGCAATTGAAAAGAGGAGGGCCCGCAACACTCCTGAAATAACACACTCTCCCCAGCAAAAGGTAAAAAGCAAAACGGCCCTTTGTTCAGCTAATTAACGAAGGCCCAACTCCGAAAGCAGATGTGTTTGCTTAGCTAATCACAAGCATGTTTCTTTCAAGGAACGTCATTTCGAGGGGGCCGCTCCGGGGGAGATGGGAGAGAGGGACACCACCCCTCAGGCCCATTCTGCCTCGGGTGTCTCACCCCAGTTTAAGATCCAGAGGCTGAATCCAGGCAGCCCGTCTTTCACACCTTTCTTCCCCTCAGCCCTACCCCAGAGGCCCCAGAGGCAGAGACTTCAGCGCTAGCCCCAAGGCCAAACCTGCAAGACACGAGGGGGAGAAAAATAAAAGTTTTAATGACACAGATGCCATATTAAATGAGGCAGTTTTACAATTCACTTTGAATAGGACGCTAACTTATTACAAGTGTGTTATCAGAAGGACGATAAGATTTATAACTCCAAGAGTCAGCTTTGCGCCTTAATGACAATGGATGTTAAGAGGAGGAAATCTGTTCTCTATTAGAGGAGATGAGAATCCCTTCCCGGGTTTGGGGGCATTTACAGAGGCCTCCAGGACCAAGCTCTTTGTGTCTCCATATGAAAGATTCTCCCTTTCCCCTTGGACTATGAAATAGGGTCTCCTTGTTGGGTTAGCACCTTGCTCAGCTTTTTAACGTGTGCTTGGGATAGAAAAAACAGAAGGAAAACGAGATAGAATTGGGGATGGAGATAGAGGTGGGTGGGGAGCGGTTCTTAGCCCTCTGGTTCCTACAGTAGAACTATTTCCCGGTCTGTCTTTACCATACAAAAGATAGCTTTCCCCTAAACCAACACAGTAAGCAAACTTTAAAAAACTGGGGTCCTATTACAAACCAACGCCCAGCACTAACTGCTTTAAAATTACTGCATAATTAGATTTAGTTGAATTTCACCATTAATTAGGCAGCCGCACTGCAGGGAGCCTTTGAAATCTGAGAAAATGGGAAAAATCATCTGAAGCACGTTTTTTAAACCCAACTTCAATAAATCTTGACGAGGCCTGGAATTCAGAGAGTACCTCGCTCCCCTCCCAGGCGGCTGAGGGATAGGGTTGTCCTGGCCGGCGCTGGGGATGGAGCTGGACGTAGCGGGGCGATTTCCCCATCGGCCCGAGAACGGGGCCTCAGCCCGGATCCACTGTCTCTGCAGAGGCCCTCGGAAGACCCTCTCTAGGAGGCCAGGTCTGTCCCACGGCCGCCCTTGCCCACTCTCAAACCTATTAGAGAAAGAGGATCCTCCGCTGCAGTCGCTCTCCTGCCAGGGCCACAGTCCACGCGGGCTCACACATTTCTAGGGTCTGCGACCACCCGCCTGGAACCGGCCCTCAGCCCCTGCTAGATCCTCCCACCTCCCAATCAACCCTCCTCCCGGGAAGCCACCTTTCCCACAACTTGGACGTGCAAGCAGCAAGTTCTGCCCAAGTCCAGCGGGGTTCGCATTCCGCCCTCCCCACCCCCCCGCCGCCCCGCGTGCCCCAGCTCCGCTCCGGCCCGCGCAAACCCCGGCGCAGCCCCTGCATTAATGAGCGCGAGAACTGACCGAGGTCTGTAAAGACCGTCCTCTCCCCCTCCCCCTATATCATTCAAACATTTAAGATCATTTGCGGATACAGACTTTTTATTTTTCTAATTTGGTTCTTGGAAGGAGAGGAGACAGGAAATCAACTCTCCTGAATATGGGAGGGGGAGGGGAGAGGGTACAGCGTTACCAATATTTTCCTTACGAATTCTGTTGCTTTAATTAAAGAATCGAGGATCGGACTCACTTGCCAGCAAGAGTTTAAAAGAGGGTTTTCGTCCTGCAGACGGAATGGCCTTTAGCGCCCCCCGCCCTCCTTTTTTCCTTTTTGGTAACCAATGTGTTTTCTATTACCCGGCCCTGCCGTGCCTGGCAGCCCGGCGCTCACCGTGCAATGGGAGACGCCATGTTGGCTCAGCTCATAGGACCAAGTCAAAAGCGAGCTTCGAGGCAGAGTTTCACACGCTCGAGCTCCCCCTGACCGCCCCCCGCCCCCGCCCCCCTTCCCCCCCCGCCTGTCGCCGCTTAATGCACATCCCAGGAGTGCAGCTCCGCGCGCTCGGCACCCCGGACTTTCCCGGGGCGCTGGCGGAATTCTGCCGCACGTAAGTGGGGGCGGGGGCTGGGGGGCAGGCACTTTCCCGCAGCAGCTGCCAACTCCAGGCCCCCGTCCCTACAGCCGGCTGGATGCTAATCCAGCCGTCTCCGCGGAACCAGCTTTGGACGTCGCCTGCTAACTTTGAGCCCCAGCTCCTCGCGGCCCAGGGAGAGCTAATGGTGAAAGGCCGAGGCAGGGCGACCGCGAGCCGAGCGAGCAGGCTGGAATCCCCCCCGGGCGCAATCTTCCCCTAGGTTTGTTTGAAAGTGGCGAGAAGCAGCGAGCGCCCCTCTCTCTCCTTGCACTATTGTTGCATTTCGCGTCTAACTGGGTTCTCTCACACCCCCGAGCGCCACGAGGAGGAGGGGGAGCGGGGTTGGGAAAAGAAATAAAGCGAGCTCAGATCAGATGAAAAAAAAAAAAAAAAAAAAAAAAAAAAAAAAAAAAACCCAGCAAGGAAAAAGAGACACTTAAAGGGAAAGAGTCGCCATGTTTAGCAGCTTTTTTAAAGATCTCGTCAATTTCACACAGAACGCGCTCGCTGGGTCCCAGCCCTGGTCTTTTGTCCAATTCAGTCGCAGCAAAGATCTTTTGTTCTAACTCAGCGTGAAAAGAAAAACTTTCTTTAAATGCAATAAACTTAAACCGAACTCAAGACTCTAAACAGATCCTCCTCCGGCCACTCTAAACATATACAAGGGGGTTTGTTTTAACCGGTTGAAAAATTTTGGATCCTGTTTTTCTGCCTCGCAAATCCCAAGCTCATTGCTGAAACTTAAGAGTGTGAGAGAGATTTCCAACGTCTAGAACACATGCTTAAAGCATAAAAAACAGGGATTGTCTTTTGCTTTGAAAATCATAAATTATAATTTAATGCCAATAATAATTTACAACAAATGGCTGTTTACAATAAACTAACACAAAACAAACAAGGAAAAGGGCCTGTGTTTTACTTATTAGAGAAACTTCACACACTCACATGGATAGCACTTGCAAGAGGAAGAAAATAAACAACAACCGACAAAACCTCGAACTAAAGGTCAGCAATACTGTGCCGTAAGAACAGACTTGTATTTATATATGTATGTATCTACAGAAATAAATGAGAGTCAGATGGAAAACTGCACAAATCAGATTTTACTGGTCTGCATGTATTGACTGGATCTGAATATTAACGTTTAATACACTTTACAAAATGATCCCTTTTCTTTCACCTCTCTCACTAGTTTCCCCCCCCCCTTAAAATTAAACCACAACATGAAGTACTGGCGGTGGGGGGTGGGTTGGAAACCTTGAATAAGAACAAAATTGCAAGCTCCCAGCACTGAGCTTCCTCCAAACCAGGAAAAGATAAAGAGGAAAAATGAAAAAAGACTCCAAAAGAAATAGTTACTACTTCTAAATCAGCACACCCTGTAAACTTTCCTTCCTTCCTTCTTTTTCTGTCCTGCTTTCTCTTCCTTAACTTGGCTTCTAAGGACAAAGGATCCCAAGAGCAGTATAGATTGTAGCTACACAGTCTGAAATGTCAAAATGTCGATGTGTTTTTATGTACATAACTCCAATGGAAAAGATTCCCTTGACCCTGTGGTCATGCTCTCACAGACTGAAGGTAAAGGGGGGAGGGGAGAGGGAACCCAACTGCAAGTTATCATATATACATTAAAAATAGACCCTTCAGTCTTATAACCTATATCACTGAATTTGAAACTCTATCAACAACCACGCTAGAGTAGAACCACAGAATATTTTTAAAAATCGCACCTACTTAAGGAAAAACTCATTGCAAACAACTGTCCTCTAATTACAATGCTGTGATTAGCTTGCTTGAACGATCTTCTGAGTAACTGTCAGAAATGTACAAAAGAGTTTTTTTTTTCTGATCATAAAATAGATACTGATCTCAAGATTTCTAATACTTTTTCACAATACCTTCCCTAAGCAGGCACTTAAGTGTGACAAATATAAGGGCCTTTTTTTTTTCCTGGAAAATCCATTTTTAATTAAAAGGAGGATTAGGTGAATGGGGGTGGTTTACTATATCAGTATGGCACTTCCTAAACCATAGATAAACCATTAACTTCAGCTCCCCCCCACCCACACACACACCCAAATTAAACAGGCAAATACACTAGTCCACCTTTGAACAAACTGACTGAGGGGAGTAAACAAATGCCCCCCCCCCACTGCCCCCCGCCCGGCCAGCTAAGCGAGAGCTCACAGGGGCTCTTCTAGATGTAAAGACAGTGAGTGGGGACAGCCAGGTTTCAGATATCAAATAATATTTTAATTTCTGAATACTTTCAATTTTCCTTGGAATATAACACACAAAGACTCGACCAAACAGTTCAGTTATTATAACTTTTACAGTATACAGAAATGTTGCACTTAAAAAAAAAAAACCTTCAGTTTTTTTAAAACACAAACTGTAAACTCTAAGATACTGAATCAATCACGTTACCTATAAGTGCCAACAGTGTTATTTTTGTCATGCTGATTTCAATGGTATTTTTTAAAAAGGGAAAATATCAACAATTATAATACAAAGGGTTTGCAAATATACAAACAGATATAGGATTTTCATAACAATTCAAGAACTAAGCGGGACCCAATTCAAATTACAAAAGTTCACTTTTTATTCAAAACCTCAGCATGTGTCTTGGACACATTCCTTGGCTGCCAATAAATTCCACAGTTCATTCTCTTTCTTAAAATATTTTTTAAAAGCTAGGTTTGTCATGGTGTCTTTTGGGGAAGGGCAGGGTAGGGGAAGTTAAGTGTTATATGTGGTTCCTCCAGTTCTCTAATTAGAGTGCTCAACTTCACCTAAAATTTTTGGTCACCACTTGTAAGTGCGTTTCCATCATCTTTGAGTTGCCTTTTAAAGTTTTATGTCTTCCTATGATATTTTCATGGACTCAGTTTTAATTCTTGCAGAACATATATTTTAATGATACACAGTTTTTAAGAAGCCAAGATTATATCAAAACTTATTATAGAACCACAGAATAAACTGGTTTGGAACCAGAAAAGTACAAAAAAGAACAGCTAGAGGTACATAGACACAGGACAATTAATAATTTGGAAAAAAAAAAAAAGACTTACTTTCTCCATTCTGCTAATTTTCTCCCAATCTCCTTAAATGCACTTTTAGCAATGTTTTTCAAAAATTTAGCAAAAAAAGAAAAAGACTAATTTCCTTTTTATACAAAAATGATAAGTAGCAAGTTGTTCTGACCGACACAGGAGTTTTTTTTTTTTTTTAATGCATTCTGTAAAAGTTCATTTGACAGTCTTTTTTTTTTTTTGAAATTCACAGTCCATTAAATTCTTCCCCTCTCTTCTTTTAGCAAACTTGTAACATCCTTTTATATCCTTTCTTAACAGAAGGAAATTAAGCAAACAAACCAGTCTTTTGCCTTTTCTTTCTCTGTTTCACTCCCCCTTCTTATTTTATTTATTTATTGAATTGCCATATACGGCCAGTTAAAACTGCTGCCGGACAGTAACATATCCCGGATGAGGGTTTCGATGGGGGTTTTACCTACCAAACGGACGAAAAACAATTGCTCTATGACTGAGGAGGAGACGGTGCGGAGGGAAGGGAGGCGAAGCAAAAGCTTTCCGAATCGCGTCGGCTGGTTGGGGTACTGGCTCCTAACGTATTCTTCCAAAGCACACTGAGACTTTTCCTGCAAGCTTTCCACATGGGCTACATCAGAGAGACCACAGGCATCTGGAAGAAAGTTTAAAAACAGAAGAAGAAGAAGAAGAAGAAGAATTCAGTCATCAGATTAAGAGGTTTGAATTGGGTCACATGAGGTGTGCGCACAGAGCTCTGTCAAACTGCCCCAACCGGAGTTGGAGCAAATGTCTATGTACTGAAAACTTAAGGAGAAAGAGCAAGAGATGGTCCTGAAGAAGTGTTTGCTTTAAAATAAAACATAGCTCAGTGTGCTAGAGGCTTTCACTGCCTGAGTCCTTAGCCTGGGTCATTGAGAGGCCCAAGCTAAAGTGCATTGGGTCTATCTGGCCCAAGTCAGTAAACAGAAGAAACCAAAACTACCAGCACTCTTTCCCCTCCTCCTCTGTAAATAATAGTTTGGCTTATAATTATATAGGGGTTTGTGGGGGTTGGGAGTGGACAACCTGGCCCAGTCCCGAGTAATGGCGTCCACGATCCAGCCTCAGATTCTCCCCAAAGAGGGCGACTCATTTTTCTCCAGTCTTTGAAACTGATTTAAGTGGCCCTTTAAAACTGATCTTGTCAGTTTAGCCTATTGAAGGGCAGCCATGCAAACTGTGATCTCTCTGTTCATTTGAGCTGTTTCTTTTTCCCCCTTTTCTTCTCTCTCCCTTTTTCTCCCACCCCCCTTTATTTTTTAAAACCCAGGTCCCTCCAAGAAGCATCCCCCCTCCCTGTTATCTTCAGGAAAACACTCTTCTTTTTTGATATGTGAAAATACAATAAGTGCCTTTGAAATGAGAAGCTTCTTGGTAAAGGCGGTTCAGGTTGTGACCTGACCTTTCAGGGCTCCCCAGACAAGACTGGGGTTAACACATGCATATTGTGAATCATTAAAACAGATACTCGAAAATCAGCACCACCACCTCCACCCCAAGAACAAGAACACACATGCAACCTCCTCATATGTATATCTAGGACTCTGCATGTCTACAGAATGTAGAGGTGTCTGTGGACAGGAACTAAAAGATCTGTTTGCATAGGACTCCTTCCCTCTGCATCCTCGGAACTGTGTGTCTCCCTCTGAATCAGATAACAGGAACCTTTATCTCTTTGTGAGGCAATTTGCATTCTCCACACAGGCCTCCACATTTTGCAAATAGTCATAAATTAAACTGTTAATGACAGTATCAGGCATTTTTTTTTTTTCCTTGAAAGACCAAGGGTAAGGCTAAGAGCTAGCAATGATATCAAGAAATTAACAACTACCTCCATCATCCAAGAAGGTGGGCTGAGTGTTGTATTGTGGGACAGGGATGAAGGTGGCTATGAGGTAGGGAAATATCTTGCCTGCATATCTGCAGCAGGCAAACGTTCTAGATATGAGGGGCTCTCGAGAAAAATAATCCCCATCCAAACCGCTGCAAACAGCTTCCCTGCCCAGACACTGGCCTTTAATTGATTACCTAAGGACTTCCAAAGGCAGAATTTGGGGTGGCTGTGCAGGGAGATTTTATGTGGAAAGCAGCAATGTACAAGACTTAGCAGTTTGAAGACTCAGAACCTGCAAGCCGTTCAGCTGATGACTTAGTTCCCCAGACTTCTTTCAAATAAAGAAGAGATTGTGGACCTCCTTTATGTTTGCCACATAAACTACACATTTCTCCTCGTTTCCTGTTACAAGCTTAAAATATTGTAGTGGGTGACTAGGTTCCAAGCCCTGCTAATGTCCAAATGTTTGTTATTCTTAATCGGGAACCCCTTTCCCCTCTCAGCCATGACAAAGGGATCAGCTGACAACTTAGTACAAGAATGTGAAAAGGGGTTGGTGATTTCCATCCACCTGGGCTATGCTGAACTCAACCTGGAGGCAGCCAAAAAGCTCAGGTGTGGCCCAAAATGGAAAGCCAGACACTTTCAAAAATCATTTTGCCTCAAGAGTTAATTAATATCAGATCTATTACTCACACAGGTTAAACTACATGCAAACTAATTAGATTGCATAATGCAGTCAATGATGGTTTTATATCTCTAGCAACATCCATATCCAGCCCAAGTTGGCATACACTTTGGGATGTTTGAAAATTGCCTTAAGTGTTTGCTTGGGCAGGGGAAGCAAGAGGCCAGAGTCTTCAACCTCCTGCAGACATTCTAAAGAGTTATGACAGTCCCTTTCCTCCTCTTGCCCCCTTCCTGACAGATCTTTTCCCCTCTCCTGGCAGTCTGCATTATTTCAATAAGAATATGATTTTGAAAATTGCTGCCCTCAGGTTGGATTTGCCTGGAGCTCCAACTCCTACTGAGTTAGCAGGCAAACTTTTCCCCTGCAGGGGCAAACTTGCCCCTGTAGAGACACTGTCAGGGCTGCTCCAGTGTCCAGGGGCATCTCCTGGAGGCCCAGCCAGGGTGTTAGAGAAAACCCAGGTCTTGAAAAGATTCCCTGGGGCCCAGCAGGCCCAGGGGGCCTGGGCTCAGGAAAGGGAAGAGGAGAGGGCATCCCAATCTGGATACTGCAGGTAGGGGAACTAGGCAGCAGAGGCTGCCCTATGGCCCATTTGGGGAATCTATCTGAAGCATCCTTCCTGCAGTCCAGCCTTCCTCTCCTCTCCCCAGGACAGGCCTGGTGGTGCCCAACAGCTATACAAAGTTCCCACTTCAAGTTGCACTCAACAGTTTGGCCTTTCAAGGAGCAGTATGGGTTTGCCCTGGGGACTCCCAAGTTCTCTGGGCCCCAACTCTGGGCTAGGAGCCCGTGGGCACGAGAAGACAGGGCTCCTTCCTACCTGAGGTGAACAGGACTATGGCCTTGAGGCAGCTGTACTCGGCTGAGTCAACGTGCAGCGCCTTGAGCTTCTCCACTTGCTCTTGGAAGATCCGTATGTGGTCCATAAAGGCGACCACCCGGTCGGCAGACATGGGCGAAGCATGCAGGCCGGCGGCGGCCAGGAGCGGGGCGACATGGAGGGGCATGGAGCACTGCGCCGCATTCAACACAAACAGCTCGCTCCAGGTGAGGCGAAGCAGGGCCACCTGGTCCGTGATCTGCAGGTCGGGGAAGAAGGGGATGTTCCGGGCCCACTCGACGGCGCTGAAGAGCATCCTGGCGGCCAGTTCACAAATGTTCTCGATACCCATGATGTTGTTGGGCTGCATGCATTGGCTGCCGAAGCGCGACGTGGGATAGGGCTCGGCGCGCAACAGCAAGGAAATATATCCGGACAGGTACGAGTGGCAGTTGAGGGGGTCCCCGTTGGTCAGCGCGAACTGCCCGTGGGTCGGCTGGGTCGGCGGCATCCTGCCCCTCTGCACCGCTGCGGGGAGGAAAGGAGACACTCCACAGTTAATGACCAGCCTCAGTCCCCAGGTTCCCCGGCGGGGTCTGCCCCAGTCCGACCCCCACCTGACCCAGGCCCTGAGCAGCGCAAGAACCAGGCAGGCCTGCCACAGACCTGGAGTCGCCAGGCTTTTGGCACCATTCCTTTGAAACCACCACCCAGGCGAGCTCTGAGGGTCAGAGGGGCACACTTGCCTCCGAGGCCCGCTCAGGGCTGGTCCACCGAGGACCCAGAATTGGCCACTTTGCCTCGGGGTCCCCGGCGCTGTGGGCGGGATGTAGCATTCTGAGGGCATCTTTCTTCTTTACTGCTAAACAGCTGATATTTCTTATTGATTGGAGGAGAGGGAGCGGGAGGGGCGAGTCTGGGGGGAGGGTGAGACGCTTTTGCAAAAGGCACGAGGGTTCACCCCAGACGGCCTGTGGCCACTCCGGAACGACTCTCCCACAAACCCCAAAGCCCCAGCCCCAGCCCGGCGGGGAACCCCCAGTGAGAGACAAGCAGAGAGCGGAGATCTGGCGTCTGTCTAATCAGTGTGCTCGGAGAAAGAGACCGAGGGAGAGGGCGGAGAGAGAGAGAGGCCGGCTTAAGGAGAGAGGAAGCCGGGAGAGGCAGGGAGCAGGCGGCCGGCACTAGCGGAGCCTGAGCAGGGCCTGTAAGGGCCGGGGAAAGCCGGCGAGGCTCGGGCTCAGGCTGTTATCTGACTCCGGACCTGGAGAGTCGCTCTCGCAGAAACACAAAGAAACCCCGGCGTTGGCTCGCCCCAACCCGGAGCCCGCGCCCCGCGCCGAGCGCGCCATTGGTAAAGCACGGCTCGCGGCGCTCGGCGAATTTTATATCACAAAGACCCAACTCGCGCAGAGCGAAAGCAGCCGCCCAGGGCCCCTCGCCCACCCTTTCCTACTTCCTATCGCGCTCTCTTCGTTTCAAAAGTGAAAGGAAAAAAGCAAGCAAAGGTTTTTTTTTTGTTTTTTGTTTTTTTTTTAGCAGAATGTTAATCCACGGAGGGTCACATGAGCGCTGCCCGGGCGGCAGCGTTAATACGGCGAAGTGCATAAAATTGCCATTTGTAATTTGAACCTCCTGTACAAAAGTACAATCTCAGGTTGTTTTTTTTTTTTTTTTTTTTTTTTTGAGAGGGTGGGGGCTGGGGAAAGGGGTGAAGGGGAGGGACATGTTGAACATGCAGGAAAAACAAGGGGAGAGAGAGAGAGAAGTAAACTAGGCTTTAAAACAACAACAACAACAACAAACACCCCATCCCTTGCAGAAAGGCAGACTCCAGTGAACTCACAATCAATGCAAAGCAAATGAAAACAGCCCAAAGACAGAGTAAAGAAGGAAATCAGTCGGCCAAAGCATGCGGATTTGGGGTTTGGGTTCCAATGCAGAACTCGCTTCTAGTATAAAACCCCTTTCCGCTGCAATACGAAGAGAAGAGCTTGGGGCTTCTTGTCCTTACCCAGAGCAGGCTAGCCAAACGTACCCAGGACCCCGGGACCCAGGACGAGGGAAGGAGAAATGAGAGGCCGATACCTTCCCGTCTCATGCCCACTTTGAGGCACTTTTTGAGGCGGCAGTACTGGCACTGGTTGCGATGGTGCTGGTCGATGGGACAGTTCCGGTTGGCGCGGCACGTGTAACTCAGGTTCCTCCGCACGCTGCGCTTGAAGAAGCTCTTGCAGCCCTCGCACGTGAACTGGCCGTAGTGCTTGCCGCTCGACTTGTCCCCGCACACCACGCACTCGATGTGTTGCTGCTGCTGCTGCTTGTCGCTACCCGGGCCGCCAGGGCCGCCCTGTCCACCGGCTGCCGTCTGGGCTGGCGTGCTGGCTGGGCCCCCTTGGCCGGGCGTCTGTGGCGTGTGCGGGGCGCCGGGCGGCGGGCCGGGCACGGGCGGCGCCTGCGAGGCCTGGCTGCCCTGTGAGCCGGGCACCTCGTCCTGGGGGTCGCGCCACGTGCTGACTACCATTGCCATATCTATGGGGGCCGCGTCCGGACTTCCTGCTCCCCTGGCTGCGGGCGGCGGCGGGGCGGCGGCGGCTCCCCGGGTCTCGGGCTCCGGCGCGCCGCCTTTTGTGTGTGCGAGGGTGCAAGAGGGCGCGGGAGGGAGCCCCGGGTGGCTCGGGGGCTGGTTGGTTGAGGTTGGTTAGTTTTTCCTTTTTTGTTTTTGCTTTTGCAAAGTTTTGTCGATTGCTTGTCTGGCCCGGTGTGTTTGTTTTGTTTGTTTCCCTCGGCTCAGCTTTGTTGGTTTCGGGGGGCTTTCCGCCGGGAGGGGAGGGGAAGGGGACAGGATAGCGAGTGGGAGCAGAACGTGGAGAAAGAGGGAGGGGAGGGAGAGCTGAAGTCGATTGTCTGGCTTCAAGACAGAAGTAGGAGGCAAAAAAAAAAAAAAAAAAAAATCTCTCCAAAGATCTCGCTCGCTCTCACTCTCTCCCTCCCTCTCTCGTTCACTCTCTCGCTCTTAGAGCTGGTGTGCAGCCGAGGAGTTGGCGGAGGAGGAGGAGGAAGAGGAGGAGGAGGAGGAAGAGGAGGTGGTGGTGGAGGAGGAGGTAGAGGAGGAGGAGAGGCGACTGTCCGGGGGCCAAGTCCAGGGCAGCCCACAGTCAGCCATTCAGGAAAGCCATCGAAATCAGGAGGACTAGGAGATCGGAGGCGCCGGGTGCGGGCGCGCCCAGGGAGCCAGGCAGGCCGGGGCGGAGGCCGGCGGCCCGCGGAGTGGCCGGAGCGCTGCCCGGGTCCGGGGGAATCAGCATGAAAGTGGTCCGCGTCGGGCGCTGCGCAGCGTCGTCCTGGCGCTGGGCCGCCGCCGCCGCCGCCGCCGCCTGCCCCGGGCGTCCGGCGCGCGCCTCGCTCTCTCCGGCCGCCGCTGCCCGCAGTCGCTGGGTGGAGGCCGCTCGCCGTTCCCTGCGGGCCGCCCGGGCCGCCGCTGCCGCCGGAGCCGCCGCCGAAGCCGCCGGGTCGGGCCCGGAGCCGCCGCGTCTAGCGCCGCCGCCGCCGCTGAAGTCGCTGCTGCCGCTGCTGCCGCCGCCGGAGCCGCTGCTGCTGCTGCTGCCGCCGCCGCCTCACACACATAGGGAAAGAGTCAACTCGCCGGCGGCGGGGGAGAAATGATAAAAGAGAGAGAGGAGGGCAGATCACCACCTAGAAGCACATCCTTCGTGCGCAGAGGGGGGAGAAAAAGACGGAGAGAAAGAATGAAAGAGGGGAAAAAAGGCAGCACGGCACCCGGAGAAAGGAGGCAACTCGGAGAGAGGAGGAGGAGGAGAAGAAAACACACGCGCGCACGCACACACACACCGCGGAGAGAAAAGAACAGAGAATCAAAGTGATCAAATATGCTAAAAAGGGGGGCGCGGGAGGGAATGCGATTTATAGGCGCCGGGGCTGGCAGAAGTGGCTTCTCCGCGATCAGCTCACTGAGCTCTCTATATAGTGAACTTTGACACGACTGCTGCAACTTAGCGCACGTTGCCATGGCGACGGCGCGCCTTATAAGGCAGCAGCCGGGGTTGGCCTGGCCAGGCGCGCGCGCACCGCCCCCTCGCCGTCATTGGCCGGACTGCGGCGGCCCCGCCATGGCGGCCGCGGGCGCAGCCCGGTCCTAGCGCGAGCGGCATCGCCGGCGCGGCGCGGGGCGCCCGGGGGACCGGGGGTTGGGGGGGCGGGGGCGGGGGCGGGGTGGCCGCGCCGCCGCTGCCGCCGAGCGGGGGATGGGCCGGTGCTGGCCCTGCGAGCGCTGCTTCTGCTCTCCCCACATCCCGCACCCGAGGTTCCGCCCCGGCGGGGAGACTAGCGCAGCGCGCACACACAACGTCTCTTAAAGGCTCCGCGAGAGGCTTTGGATGGAATCGGGGACTTTGCCTCTCGCAACTTGGCGATGTCATGAAATCCGCCGCTCGCGCACCACCCGGGATTCCTGGCGCATCTTAGTGCCCACAATGCCAAAGAAAAGTTCCCTGGTTTCTTTGCAGAGGGGTAGGGAGTGAGGGTGGGAAGGTGCCACGAACTGAGCTTGTAGGCATTTTCCAAACAAAGATTTGGCCAAATCCGGGTGATGGCAAACCCTTCTCTTAATTGACTCTGATCACTTGTTCGGTTTGGTGGCTCATGTGTATATATATACATATATATGTGTATATATATATATGTGTGTGTATATATACATGTATACACACACACACACACATATATATATATTCTTTTCAGAGGATAAAAGCCGTTCTGTTTCTGCATATTCCTTGTAGGGTTAACATTTCACAGGTATGTGGCCTGACATTTTAATTGCCCAAATAAAGCATCTCGGATGCTGAGAAGCAGAAGTAGACTTCACCTCATTGTCATGACGCAATTAAAATCAATTTTCCTCAACTTTACCCTCTCTCGCTGGTTTTTGCTAACTGTCCAGCCAACATCCTGCCACACACCCAGTCATGGTGAGAGGGGAAAGACCTCTGCCCACTGATGGACAGGAGGAGGCAGCCGCCCAGCCTCCCCTGTGCACACCCTCTGTACACACATGTAAGCGCACATGTATCAGATGCACATTTGTCAATGTACACAGACAAAGACTTCACCGACTATGCTTCTAGGTCATAGAACAGTTGAGTACGGACTTCATTGTTCCTCAAGTTCCTTTTAAGCATTCATATAGTCATTAAAACGCACCCAGAGATTCTACCCCAAATGGGAAATAATACTAATACAGGTCACAAGAACCAAACACAAGTCATATTCTACCTCAAGAAGTCACTGCAAAAAGAACAACTTCATAGCCCATTGCCATCCTGCTCCATGTGCTAAAATAATTGAGACAGTTGTGTCTTTGAATTCCAGGGTGTCTGGTTTTAAACATCAAACATGTAGAATTGCTCTCAGAACACACTATATTCCAACACAGTAAACTTGTTGTTTGATTATGACCAGTTAGTGAATTACCATTATTCCACATTTATACAAGAAAATTGTGTCTCCTTTGTACACACTTTGCACCAAGAGAAAACCTTATGCCGGTAAACCAACCAGGTTTGTGAACAATTAAAATATTTTACACAAAAGACGCTGAGCTCCAGGAAAAAAAATGAACACATATGAAGAGTAATTTGACGACCACAGAAAACATCCTTGGTAGCTGAAAAAAAAATTGACAGGATAAAGATATTTTAAAAATAAACCATACATATAATTGACATGTATAGATTACATTTTACATTCAATTTTCTTTACACACACAGGCAGAATATGAGGTAAGGACTAAAGATCTGGGCAGATAAGGACGGTTTTTAGGAAAGGAAAAGTCTTTTAAGCTTCATTCCTGAAACCTCCTCAACCCTCACTCTTTCTCCGATGAAATCACGTATTTCACTAAAGCTGCAGGTTCTCGGTTTATTTGAAAGTTGTTAAATAAATTTTTTAAAAGCCCAACAAACCTACAGTGGACACTGAACTATCATAAACCTGGTGTGTAATAAGATTGCCACAGAGTGAAGCCAAGTTGAGAATTTCAAGTTGATTAGAGACACAATATAACTTTCTCCTAAAGAGGATAAGAAGGATGGAAAAGAAATCATTACAGAGGAGAAGGTTTTTGGTTGTTGTTGTTGTTTTCCCTTTCAACCTCTTTGATTCAGGAATTGCTAATGTTACAAATGTCAGTAGATTAGGGACAAGCTCAGCTGAGATGTGATGAGACTGGGGTTGAGATAGGAAATATAATGGGCATTCCCATCTCAATAGAGGATGAAAATATTTGATTATAGGGAAATCTTAATCTCACCTCCTGAATGAGGAGACTTCCATAGCAGATTACCTTTTACAAACATGGGAAGGGACAAAATCGAGGAGGAAGAACTTCCCCAGTCCACTCAGAGATTTTTGGAATTTGAAGTACGCTCTGATGGCCTTAGATTGAAATGGAAGAATTTCCCAAACCATATCTTAAAAAATTGGAGCCTGCTGGGCAAATGATCACAGGGCTGCCATAAAGTCAGCGTATATCACTCTGCATTTTAGGACTCATTCAGTTATGAAATGCTGTTACAAGGGGTAAAAACATCACCATATGAATTATACTTAATTTTAATGCATAGAAGAAGAGACAAGACTACAGACTGAGAAGAAAAAAGGCAAAAATATTTCAAATGTCTTCGCCAGAGATGCTCACTTGCTGTGCATCTAAGGTTGAAAAGCTCTGAGAAGACAAAATCAATATATTATTGTTATTTTTTAAAAATCCAACTCAGTCTTTTTTTGCAGATGTAAATTTATTTTAATGAGAAGAATGGCAAGCTTTAATTTGCCTAGAGAAAGGTGGGACAACATTTGCCCTAATCTAAAAAAGAAAAGAAAGAAACTCAATACCCAGCAATATAATTTTCTTGCAGAAAGCGGCCTGATGGGATGTATTTCTTTACAGATTAAATCACAATATGAATACAGAGCCCAGCAAATGCCGAGTTTAACTCTGAACTCAGTAGAAACCAGTTCCGTCCTCCAGGATTCATTGAATTCCTCCTTTCCCTCAATCTAGTCCGTGTGTGTTTTTCTCTTCCACCACACTGGAGCTCCATGAATAGGGAAAGGAGCTTCCATTGTGTCCCTCTGAACTTCCAAGTCAATGCAATTTTTAACCACTGGCTTGTGGTACTTTGAAAATCACCAGGGGCTGTCAGAGTTGGGTCCTCTGAAAAATTTACAGTGCTAAATCAGAGCATATGCTGGGAGGGAAAAAATTGCTTAAGATTGGAGCAAGTACAGTATCTGTCTGCCCCCTAGTGTAAGAGTCCTGGCTGCCTAAAATTCAACTTTAAAAGAAAAGGAGCTCTTAAAGGGAAACGACTTTGGACTCACGTAGGCATAGGAGAATGAAACTTCTGTACATTTTAATCTGAATAATTCTTCAGGATTTAAAATTAATTGGCTCTGGCTTGGTTGGACCGTACTCGGATCTCGCCACCTCTGCGTTTCCCGAGCCACTGGCGAAGAGGTGATTTTTTTTTTTTTTTTTTTTTTGAACTGGGTTTATGTGCGTCCCCCTCACCCCCTCCTCTCTTTTTCTTTCTCTCTGTCTCTGTCGTCTCTCTCGCTGGCTTTTTTAAAATGAGGAACCGCTCCTTGAATGTTCTGGACAGAGCACAGAATTGCTTCTTAAGTCAGCCCGGCGCGGTTGCAATAGACAGCAAAAAGGTAAACGTTTGCCTGAAACCCGCACGCCAGCTCCACCACCCCGCCCGATGGTGAGTACCCTTCTCGTCGCGATTCTCCCTCCTAGCTTAACCGAGCGCTCGCCTACCCGAACCGTGGCCGAGGGCGCCGGGCTAGGCTTTTCTCCCTCCCTGCCTGCCTGTCAGTTGCACAAGGTTGCAAAATGAAGCGCAGAGGCAAAGCGAACAGTAAATTCTTATACTTAGTGCGAGCCTGGCAGCTCCTTTGCTAGAAAACCGAGTCATCTGCTGCTTGGAAAACCACGCTTATAGGACTGGTTTTTAGTTTGTTCTATGGAAGGAAATGAGTTTGAGGAGACAGGACGAGGAGATAGGAGGCTCCGCAGTCTTAACGCTTCGGTTTAATCATATTTTGGCAGCTTTGCAATTGTATTTCCCCCCTCTCCCCCCACCATCTCTCCTACCACACACATGTAATAAAATATGGCAATGCATTGAATTGACTCTGTTCCCCCCTTCCCCGAACCCCTTAAACCACAGTCCTCGGCATTTCATACACGTTAGCAAACCGATATTTTGAAAAACCCCAAGTCATCCCCAACCCCACACAGCACAAGGAGAAAAGTGAGAAAGGAAAGAGAGAGAAAAAAATACTGTAAGTAAACATACCAAAACCATATTTGCCTTGTTCAAGATCCCAAACCGCTTGCATCTTCCTCCTAAACTGGAATAACTCTCCTTTAGTTTGGCGGGTGAAATAAATGCTTTGTTGGCCCCCTGAAAAGATGTGTCTTTGATAATTAAAGAGAATCTCCTCCTCGGTGTTTATCTAAGCGATTGTGCAAACTGATAAAAAGTAGGCACTAGCCTGCAGGGAAAAAGAGGAAAGGTGAAGGGAGAGATCTTCCACCTCAAGGAAGTGCTTCCCCATGTATTAGGCTCTCTCAGCCTTGGAAAACCCTGCACACTAACTTTAGAGAGACAAGGTTTCAGGGAGCTTTGTACATAGCTGCTGAGGAATGCAAGCCTCGCCTTTAAGAAAAAAAACCCCAAACCGTAGGTAGGAGATGTCTGGAGTGATCCTTGTCTCTCATCTCATTCCTTAGAAGGAAGAGTGCGTTGTTACACCTTGTTTGGGGCTGGAAAGACGAGACTTTAAAAACACCCGTCCAATTGAAAAAAATCTCCCAACTTAATGAGTTTAGTCGGAGGCTGGAGCAAACGGCTCAGCCTCAGCAGAAAATCGCCAACAACTATAGGCGATATTGCAAAGCAAGACGACCCAAGGCACAGCCAAATTCCACTGTTTGGGGTCGAGAGGGATGGAGGCTAATCCTAAAGCAAGTTGGGAAAAAACAGAGGTGGAAGAGGAGGGGGAAAAAGCATCAGCCTCGCAGACTGGCAGACAGGCTTCCCTCATCCTGCATCAAAGATAGAACTTGAGACAGGAGGGCAACATTTTTCCTAGGAATCCGTTGGAATCCTCATTTTCTACTTTTAACTCAAGTCTCCCCAAGTGATTTTTTTCCCCCTCTCCCCTGTGGATTTCTGCCTCCCCCCTTTCCGGTCCTCATTCTAGAACTTTCCTGAGAAGGAAATCTATTTCTTTTGGGGGGAGGGGTTCCCCATTCCATGCCTTCAGATAATGAATGCTTGATTCACCCCCTCCCTTTCTCTACTCCCCAAAACGAATAAAGGAAGCAGGAATATGGTAACTAGTGAAAATTGAATATAAACTATGCTGCCTCTCACAGTTTAATACAGTTTTAACTAATGGATTTCTGTTTTGTTTTGTTTTAAGAGAAGAATAATGGGGAAACACGGATCTTTTATTTTAGGAAACTGTTATGGTAAGATGTATGTCAGACTTGACAAATGGAACTAACGCTCTTCGGCTGCTTCTTGTCCTTGTCTTAAACAGGAATTAAGTTAAACACAGTGCTGAATGTTAATTACATGTTTACTGGCTAATGAAAATTACAAATGGTTTTGCCACCTCAAACAATGATGAAAACTCTGAAGACACTGTAATTATATACTTTGAGCAAAATAACTCAGAATATTGATCATAAGAAGTGTAAATCTTTTTAAACTATTCATTAATACCATAAATATGGGCTACAGAAGTTTTTCCTTGCGGTTTGTCTCATCAGTTATACTGAGTGGATGGATGGTGAGGCTCCTCTGGGGAGGAGGTGAACTCATTCTCTTAGTAGAAGGAGGCCACTTGTGTAACTGGGGGGTGCCCCCTCCCTTTCGCCCCCGCCCCCTTCATCCCCAGCAGAAGGTCGAGGAATAGTTGAACAGGAAGGCCGAGCTCAGGGCAGGTGAAGGTGATCACAGCCTGGCCTTTTCCCTCCCCTCCCTGCCCATCTCACTCCTCTCCCTTCTCCCTTTCCTGCCAGTTCTGATCGATGACTGCCTTCCCCACCTCGGGCACCAGTGGGATAACCTGGCATTCGGGGGTTCCTAATGGAGGACCAGTTGGACCAAGAAGGTCACCCCACCCACAACTCAGCCATGGAGCCCTGACAACTTAAATTCCCTCCTTCAGAGATGGCTCAGGCAGTTCTTTGCAAAAGAAGGAAAAAAAAAAAGTTAGGGATGGTGGTTGCTATTGGATAAGGTGGCTCAGGCGGCTGAACCAGAACTGGTTTCCCTGGGTTTGGAAGCAGAAAACTTTTTTGTTGTGGTTTTCTTTTAACTTTGGCCAGAGTTGTAGTGCTGGCAGCCACTCCGATCTCGGAGGTCAAAGGTGAGGGCTACATTAACCCTAAAAGGCTGTCCTGGCCTGGCCACAAGGCCAAACAGGCAGGGGAGAGGGGGTTTGTCAGCCTTGCAACTTGGCACTTTGGAGGGGACATCTGTGGAACCCACACTTGGGGGGCACAGCATCAAGTGTGGGTTTTCAGTGAAATATTGAGGATTTTTAAAAAAAAGTGCCCTAGGCTTGCGGGACTAGAGTCCTCTTTTTCCCTGAGAATTCCCAAGGCGCTGGTCTTTGTCTTAGAAGGAATGGAGTTTCTGAATGGTGTGAAAGGGACAGAGAGGGTCGCTTCAAATCGATTTTACTTGTCCTTTCTGTCTTTTCGGATCAACGCCCTTCAATGGGCACAGAGGTGCTCTTTCAACCAAAAACTTGTGCTACATTTTCTGCCTGTATTGGTGCTAAATACAATAAGCACTGGGCAGGGTTTTTTTTTTTTTTTTTTTCCTTTGCTCTCCAAAGCAAGAAAGCACCCTAATTAAATTGTTTTATATGGACAGTCAAGACGGACCAATTAAGTATGCATTAGTATAAAGATATAGTCTGCAGATAAGGTTGTTTAGAAAATCATGTGTAGGACAAAGGAGAGGGCGCTAGCATTTTGGAGAGGTGCCTAGACTCAGCAAGGTCATGCCCCTTCCTCCTTGGGCCCCAGGAGAATTGCAAAGGCCCGGACCCCAGGTGAGAAGGGAACAAGCTCGCTAACAGGTGGGCGACATTGCGGGAGACTTTCAGGCCCGAAGCCCCGGCCCAAGAGTAGTGGAGTCCGAGGATCGGGATTCCTCACATCTTACTAGCAGACCTAGGTAGCGGGTCCTATAGGACGCGGCGGGACCCTGCAGTGCCCTACTCCAGGTCGAGCCTACTGCACGATGTCCCAGGTCCAGGGTGGGCCCTGCACTAATGAAATCGTCTGCGCCCGGGAAAGGCCAGGAGGGCCAAGGGACACCGACAATGTCACGGCCGCAGCCCTCTCACAGCCAATATCAGGGCAGGAGGCCTCCACCTAACACCTCCAAGCTAGGAGTTTTTTCTCGTCTAAGGAAAGGGGAGTTTTTCTGGGAGGAAAGTAACGTTCCCACCCGACGCCATCCGGCCCGATGGAAGTCGAGGATCAGTCTCTAGAGTAGAGGAAAGGCCGAGGGGTCGGAGAAAGGGTAGCAGGGAGAGCGGCTTGTCGTCCAGCTGATGCAGCTCTGGGCTTCTCCACCCCCTCTCCTCCCTCAGAGGTGTGGGCGGGCGGAGAGCATCTCTCCTCTAAGGAGGCGACCCCCATAGCAGGGGCCGGGGCCTCCCCGCGTCGCGGCTCAGGGCTGTGATAGGTGGTCCCAGGGCCGGGGGGCGCGAGCGCCGCGCGTTGCCGCTGGCAGGGCTCGCAGGGCGCACAGGGCACCCCTTAGTAGGGCGGGAGGGAGGAGTGGGGGCGAGAATTAGAGCCTGGGGAAGTGGCTGAATGTCAAAAGTAAAAGGTTGAAAAGCCAATTTTCCAGGCGCGCTTTCGCCCCCCTCAGCTGGTTGCAGGGGCCGTAAATCAGTGGCCGGTGGCGAGGGCGGGAGGAGCCCCCTCGGCGAGCTCGGCGCGGCCCCGCCCGGACCGTGCGCACCTCCCGGTGGGCCCCGAATCGATCCGAAGCCTAGCTGAGGATGTCACCGCACTAAATATTTACTGATCACACACAAATAGCCGGGGCTCGAACGATTTTCCTCTGTGAGGAGAGCGCGGAGAGAAGGGTAAATCATTTTATTAGTGTGGATAAAGCCCAGAGCACACTCCGGGCTGGAGTGTTTTAAGATGTGTCTTCAACAGGATGAAAAGAGTTAGGGAAATCGATACCGAGTGATTAGAAGCCCCCGGGGTGACGAAGGGGGACTGGGCTTTCAGGGATTTGGTGAGGCTGAGAGGGGGGAGCAGGCCTCAAGGGGGGCGGCCCGACCACCGCCAGGGAGCTCCCCGGCTCAGGCCTCAGTCCCTCCCTACTCGACGGGAGACGCGAGGGCGCAGCGAGCTGCAGGGAGTCCGCTGCGGCCAGGCTTCGTGGTGCCGGCGCCGGGTGAAGGTTGCGCGGGCCGCCGCGGGGCCGAGGGTTTGGGAGCCACTGGCTTCTCGCCGCGAGTGGCAGTGGCCAGGGGGCCGCGGGAGTGGATTGCAGGCGTGGTGTGGGAACCCCGGGAAGTCCCCCACACGCAGTCTCTCCAGACAGCCTCGGGGATTAAAGGTGTGGCCTAAACGGGTTGCATTTCTCCTTCTGGCATTTCGGGTACTCCTCCCAGCCGCGACCCGATGCACCCTCGAACTTTCTCCCGGAGAAATCTCTACCCCATCCTGTCTTTTAATATTTTTCAAGAGATCCAATGGCCCATCCCCTCCAGCTGCCTCTTCCTCCCACCCACTTGGTGTCAGGGGCGGCCGCCGGGTGGCAGAACCCGCTGGGGACTGCCGGGAGAGTGAATTCCAGGTTCCCTGCTCGTGGGCAGGTGGGACGACATCTGAGGCCGAGGAGGAAGGCAGGGGGCAGGGTGATAGACCCCGAGGAAGCCCCAGGACGTCTGCGTCCTCTGCTAGGCGGGAACTCAGCTTTGGGGGTATCAGGCCACCCCCAGCGATGGAAACCCATCCGGGGCCCTTGGCTGGGTACTGCGAACCCAAGTGGCCAAGGAGTAAAGGCTGGCAGGGCTTGTTGAAGTTAGCAAGGCTTTGAGGGGAGTTTGCTGGGAGGGAGAGCAAAACCCCCAAACTCAAGCAGCGAAGTCCTGGCGCGAAAATGGCTTTTCACTTCTCCAAGCGCAAGTCTCGCTCGCTACTGTGAACAAACCTTGAGGTTCGAAACAGCTGCAAATAATCTAGTAGGCGCAAATTTCGGGAGGGGAGAGGAGGGGCGAAAGGTAAGAAAAGGGGAGAAGCTTTTTCGTTTCTTCTTCCTTTTCCCGCTCCTGGCCTTTTCCTAAATATCTGCGCTCCCTAAAGCAACTGATAGCGACCTACGTTTGTTTATTTATTTAGAAAGGTTCACCCCCACACCACCCTCCAATTACTCGATTTTCTTGGCAGCTTGAGGGATCCAATCCAGGCTGCCCGCTTGGCTCTTCGGTGCAACAGGAAATATAGCTGCAGATCCAATTAACCATTTTCCAGAAGAGAATTTATTTATTTCTTAAAATGAATCCCAGTGGATTGAAGCGACCGTGTTCAGGTGTGAGGGTATCGGGTACCTCGCATTCCTTCCTCGGTAATCCTCTAATTCCTGCGTTGGAAGTTCGCAAGCCAAGCTGACCTGGAGGGTGTCAGGAGCCGGGTCTCCATTAACCCTTCTTGGTCTTGGCCGGAACGAAGGTTAACTACACTAATCTACCAAAAGGAGACACGCAAAAAGGAAGCGAGGAAGGGAGGGAGTGAAGGAAGAAGGAAGAAAGGAGGAAAGGGTATATTCACTGTAGTTGCCAGAATTTTAGAGCTCTGCCCTTCACTGGTCCTCTCCCACCTCCACCCTTCCTATGAAAGCAGGTTTCCATTCAGAGAGACAACAGTCTCATCCATCACCCGCAGCACACTCCATGGAGATGGACTTTAGGGAATAAGAAAATATAATATAGTGAAATATTTTCGTGTATTTAACTGACTGCCTAGTCCATTTAAAAAATATTTCTAACCATGTATACAACAGTAGATTGCTGTGCAGGGAGTTTTAAAAACTAAAAAAAACTAAAAAAAAAAAAAAAATACATGGTTTATTTCATTTAAATAAAAGCTAATTTTAGAATCTTGTCAGTAGCCAAATTACAGCCATAGAATCTGGATGAGATTAGAAAAATATATTCTGCTGGTTTCAAACCTGGTGGCATTCTAATGGGTAGTTGTATGATAGTTACATGCATGAAGGTGTATGCACGTGGGTGTGTATATTCTTATGGTGTTAGAAGTTCCTTGATGGATTAAAGGTTCATATACTCAAGCACTAGATAGAGGCTGTCACTCATGTGTACTGGCAAAAAGGCAGAAGGCAGTGCAAAAAGGAGTTTTGAATGAGCTCCTTAGAATCACCATTGTTGAAATACAAGCTGAAGCAACTTAGCTATGGTAGAGCTTTTGTGGCTTGCAAAATCACAGAAAGACACTTCAAAGTAAAATCATCAATTTTGCAGTTTGGTAGCTTTGGCAGGGCATTTAAATAAAAGGTGAGCATCTTTTGCCTAAATAGTTAAAAATTCAGGGATATGCTACTCGGTCTATTTTACTTTTCAATGGATTGAAGAATTAAAGGAGAATAGGCTATAGCTAGAGATGATGGCATAAGGGGGCTCTCTGCCCATTTAATCAAGTGTGATGTGGCTATACATGCCTTTAATACCAATATTATATTGTAAGGCAACTCCTGCTGAGAAAGTTCCAAAGGCATCTAAAGCCATGTGGACATCAGTTCATACTTAGTAGTGGACAGAGTGAGGAATTATTGTCTGGTTCTACATTTTTCTCTTTCTCAAGAGCCTGGTAATGAAATCTTCTAAATGGCAGTTAATTTTTGGTATGTCAAGAAAAAGCATTAATCAAATGGTATCAAGTGCCAGTCATTTAAATGTGAAGGTGTTAGTAAGGCAAATACCCAGATAAATTAATATGGTTAATTAGCTGCATCAGTAGTACTTAAAGAAAATACAAGCAGAACAACAAAAGGGATTTAATTAAATTTTCTTAAAACACAAACTCAAGGTGAATTGTAGTTGGAGAAAAATAGTTTAAGGAGTGATTTCCATTCTATTGTTTTTTATAAGGTTTTTTTGGGGGGGGGACAGTTTCAATATAAAGAAGTAGGTGGACAGAGACAGACATAGTGTCATAATAGGGAAACATGCATAAGCTAGTTACAACCTCATTTCTCCTCTTAAAAGGCTGATTTCTGGAAAAGTTGAAGGTGAATGTTAAAAATAAAGAACTTCTGTGTAAAATTAAGAGAAGGCAGTTTAACATCACATTCAGCTTCTTGACCATAGGAAGTATTAGCTTGAGAGTTTACAAAGTGTATTGTTTGAATAAAATTTATACTTTTCTTTTTAGTTTGAATACAAGGTAGATAAAGATATTTTTCCTATCCGTCTATTATAATTCATAATAAATTAATCAACCTTATCTAGGAGATTTCTATGTACTTGCCTGAGGTAAATTGATTGAGAGGAAGTCGCTTCAAATAGTTTAAAGCAAAACTGAGAACCTTAAAGGAAGGGAATATTGAATTTAGTGAAAATGTCACATTGGTTATTTCTTGGCAGGACCACGTCACATCGCATCAGGGAGAAGTTAGCAAAATTGGGGAAGCCCATTTCTTTGTAGAATATATGTTAATAACTTATTTACTTCTAAAGATATGTTGCAATTTCTTTGCATATACTTTGTTGCCACATTACCAAGTAATTAAAAAGATGGTAGTATTGTGATATTTAAGTAGTGGGGATTTTAAAGGTACTTTTCTTCTTAGCCTCCTCTGAGTGATAAAGACTGATGTTTATTTACTAATTTATTTTTCTTACATGTGATTTTGGTTAATTTAATGGCTTTTAAAATTAGATAATATTTTGCTAAAGTCTACATTGTATATAAATTGAAAACAAATTCAGAAGTATCAAATCTTTTTCAGGAAGTGCAATTTGAATGTTCAGTTATTGAAGAGCTACTACTTCAACCCCCCAGGTTCTATTAAAAACAAACAACTAAACCTGTTCTTCTTTCCTAACAACTCTTAAAATTGCAACTGGCATGGCTGTGAATGAATGAATATTTAATATGAGTCTTTAACCCTCCTTTCGCATTTACCCTGGAAATACCTTTAATTTGTCTTTTATGAGTATGTATTTTAAAAAGCATTAGTCAGTATACAAGAATTATTCACTCCCTTTTTAAAATCTGTGAATAAAAATTCTAATTATAGAAAAGAGGTGCGATGTTTATTCTGAAGTTTCAGTAACATACTAAGTTTTTTTAAATAAACTAGAAGAAACACTATCCTAGATAAATTAAAATAGGGCAGCTGTTGGGTAAGGTTTACATTCATATCCTTCTGCCTTTTGCTTTTGGTACAAAGGTATTTGGGTTTTTGTCTTCACATACTGTCTATTGTTAACAGAGTGAATTTTTGAAGTTAAAAATATTTTCAAATTGTCTCGCCTTAAAGTCGAATGCATTGTTAAATTGAAAAACATAATATTCACTTTTGTGTTCAAGTTGGTATGTCCAGGCAGTAATGAGAAAGGTATGTTCTGTAAAATGTCTCCTCCCCTAAAAAACAAAACACATAAACATCACATAAACTAAGCCCAAGAGAAAAAACAATTCTTAGGATTCAGTGTGTTTGAACAATGGAGCTCTTAATAAGTTTTAATTTCTTTTATTTTAAAAATCTTAACTATCTACTAAGATGGGACACTTCACTTTTACAGTTTCATATACTTTTTGAATTTAAAAGTAAATTTTAACATTGCAGGATTTTTGAATTGTAGAGAGATTTGAAAAATAAGCCTCCAAAATAAAAGACAGACAAGTGACAGGGCATGATGTCTTGCCTAAGTTTTTAGGGATATTACAAAAGTTTTCTTTTAAAAACTACAATAACATGCTTTTTCATCAAGTACAAAATAAGATAGGAAGAAAAAAATGAAGAAAAAGTCTCCCTCTCACTCTCTCTCCCACCAAAAGACCCCAAACAACAACAAAACAAAATAAAAAGACACCCAAATCCTAAACCCCATAAATGAAGCCCCTTACCATGTTGGGAAAGTTTCTGCGCAAACTGAACTGTTTCTGTGGGTCCTGCCAAGCTCCTGGCTGGTCAACTTTTTAAACGCGGCAGGCAATGGTTAGAATGAGGTGAGCAGCCTGGCAGCCTAGAGAAGGAGGCAGACTTTTAGAGCTCAGCTCCAGAGACCTACCACTTAGGGGGAAAGTTGGGAAAGCAACTGTTGAGAGTTAACCTCTCCTTTCCAAAGGAGGTTTGCAGAGGCAGGACAGTGAGAGCTGATACCACCAATTTGATTATTTTCTCAGGCATTCCTAACTTTTATGATTTCCCCCCTCCTTCCTTTACTATCTGTCTTTGTGCCTCCAGGGCCAGTGAAAGAGCAGGGCAGATTCTAGATTGCTTTCGGAGTTTGCCTTCTCTGATGATGGATTACCATGTCAATTTAAACAGCATAGGATTAATTTGTTTCAATGATTTCTCTTTAGGCTGAATGCCAGCCGTTTTTCTATCTTTCTCTTTGCTCTTCAGAACAACAACCAAAAAAAAAAAAAAAAAAAAAAAAACCTTCTTTCCATATTCTAAGTTAAGACACAATAATAGAAATAGACAAGTTAGGTGTAATGTTGCAACACAGTTATAGGTCTGAGTGTTTTTTATCTCTGCCTAAGAGGCTGAAACATACAGTCAGTCACATTAAAATGAAATTGGACTCAACATTTATTCAATAAATACTTGTCTTGTAGATAATCCAGTGCCGAGTGCTTTTGACACATAAGAACTTAATTTGTCTTGGATAACAAGTTATTAATATGGCACATTTAAACTTGCCACCTACAATAAGGTTACTGAGCTCTACAACAAACTCAAATAATCATTGTGAAAAATAGTTTGTGTGAAGGAGGGAGACATTTTTTGAGAATGCTGATATTATTATATGTAAGTATATTCACATACAAACCAGTAACATATAGGGGCACATGTGCATGTGTGCACACTCTCCCCAACATATGTGTGTGTGTATACACACACACACACACACACACACACATATTCAGATCACATATGACAAAAAAGTTCAGTGAAGTTAAAAAAAAGTCCATCCATTATGCAGATGTATCTAACCTTTCCTAAATAAGAATGTGTCAGAGAATTTTCTCTTTTGAAAGATTTCTAAAGTGCACAGGAAAAATGCTGTTCAAATCCAATTTTTTTGCAAGACCAAGCCCATTATGAGGTTGAAAATGGCACAAAAAAAGCACTTAGCTGCAATCCAAAATCAAACAACCCCTCCCCATTTTTCACCTAGTCTGAACTTGCAGACAGCCAGAGCATGTTGCTGGTAGAATAAAGGCAATTTAAGTGAAATAATCTATTACTAAAGTGATTATTTTATTTCCTGCTCTAACAGGAGGTCCTCCAATGATGCAAAAGGACAGGAGAGAGATTTCATCCTATGGACTGAATATATTAGGCAAACATATTTTGAATTATGGGCTTCTTTTTCACCACCCTCTTCAAATTGTCTCTCCTTTTCCCAGCATTCCCTCACACTGAAATTTACATCATAGTTCAGAATAATAAAGTGCATTTTGAATATGAACACAAATGGATTCTAGAGCCTTCCCCTTTTCCTCAGTCTTCTCGATGCACAGGCGGGCTTTATTTGAACAGGTTCTACTTTCTAAGGACATGCATGATCAGAGGCCAACGAGTGTCAGAACTGGAATCTATGCAATTTTAATTTGTAAAAAATGTTGTTGGTTGCTAACCTTGGGGGAGATTGTGCATCTCTAAGAAACCAAATCTTTGAGTGCTCTCCCTGGAAAATGATGTTACACATGAGCAGAAAAATCCAGGCAAGAAAGGCTAATTGAATGAAGAGAGAGAATTAGGTTAAAAAATAGAGTACAATCTAGTATCACATTTTCACTAGTGTAACTTGAAATGAAGGTGTCTTCAAGTCGCCAGTGTTGCCAGAGTGTTTAGATGTTGGCCACAGATGGGAACACCTATTGAAATGTGTCTGAAGAAGATTAATAGGGCTTGTCACTGTTGGGAAAGCACTGTTTTGCTGTAAATTTCTACCAGCACAAGATGAATTACCGATGAATGCTCACTTATCAACCCCATCACTATCGTTCGACACTAAATCAAATTGAGAAGTTATCTGCAATCAGAAAATTTCTTTTTAAAATAGACATACACTTTTAGGCCCCAACTCTTTACTAATCCCACGTACAAGACAATTCCCCATCCCCTGATGCTTCTTTAGCTTAAACAAAATTATATCTCAATAATGAATATATTTTTAAGTTTATGCACAATAAGCAGCTGGTCAATAGCAAAGGTTGGCAATATTTTCGAGAGGTATGAAGGCTTCTTGGAGGTCATCATTTAACATTTCATAAAATGTTTGTGTGTGTGTGTGTGTGTGTGTGTGTGTTTTAACTTTTAGGTCTTTCTCTCCCTTACTTGGAAGGCAAAGAAGAGAGTGAGTTTACTGTTGTAAACCTTGTGACCTAATAGTCCTCTGATGCTCTGGTAAGATCTAATTCTAAGAGAACTGCAAGTTTAAGTAGAGAACAGTAGAATTGAATTCAATAGATGGCAGTGATACTTGGGGACATGCATTTATTTTATGATTTAATGGTATTTTAGATATCTATTTTTTAAGTTGATTTATTTGAGAAGCAAAGCAGGGGCATTATCTCATTTTATTATTTATTAACCAACTCTGAGCATCCAGAGGCTTTCCAACCTAGGGATAATTACATTTTGATAAAACCATCAACACTTGTATTGTTATAGGGCTCTACCTGTTTAAAAAATGTGGTCATATGCATGATTCATTTGATTTTTACTAAAGTCCTGTACAAGAAGAGATTTTGAATTCCCATTTTGCTGATGAGTAAACTGAGGTCATGGAGCCAATAGGAGCACAGACGGACTTTGAACCTATTTAACCTATTTCTCCTGGGTTCCTTTCAGGATTTTTTCACTCATCATTATGTAAATAAAGGAGAAGATGGCTGGGCGAGGTGGCTCACACCTGTAATCTCAGCACTTTGAAAGGCCAAGGTGGGCAGATCATGAGGTCAGGAGATCGAGACCATCCTGGCTAACACGGTGAAACCCTGCCTTCACTAAAAATGCAAAAAATTAGCCGGGTATGGTGGCGGACACCTGTAGTCCCAACCACTCGGGAGGCTGAGGCAGGAGAATGGTGTGAACCTGGGAGGTGAAGCTTGCCATGAGCCAAGATGGCACCACTGCACTCCAGCCTGGGCGACAGAGCGAGACTCCGTCTCAAAAAAAAAAAAAAATTATGATCATACTAATAACAGCTAACATTTACTATATACCAGAACTATGGTCACCATTTATTTATGTAACTTTATTTAATCTCTATACACCTCTCTGTGGTAAATACTGCTATTATTTCTATTATCCAAGAGAAAAAATGAAAACCAAACAGAATGAGACTTACAGAGTTTAAAGACCTGCCTGAAATTCACATTGTTAATAAGGTGGAGGCATATTATTCAAATCCAGGAAGTCAGAATTCAAAGCTACTGCCCTATCCTATGTTCCTGTTTCCAATTACAAGAAGTCTTAAATTGTATTGAATGCTCACAAGAAACCCCACTTCTTTTCAGAATATAAAATTCCTTAGACTCTGCAGCAGTGTGCCATGGCAGAATAGGCACTGGTTTGGAAATAGGGAGACCTCGGCTTAAATTCTAGCTTTACCAGTTAACTAAGTAGGTGACCTCAACCTTTATGGCCTTGACTTTCCTCATCTCTAAAATGAATTCCTTGGGTCAAATGGATCTACAGACATTGCACTTGTGTACTTCTTTCACTTACGGTTCCCAAGAGGAAAGAAGAGGAACAGAGAAGCAACAGCCATCTCTGCAGAGGTGAGTAGGGGCGCGTGACACAGTGCACTGTGTGAGGGCATGGCTCCTGCTTCTTGGAGACTGTCTTGAGGACACTCAGCATTAGAGGAAGTGTCCTTTTTCTTTTTCTTGCCTCCAGAGAGTACTGAATACTTAAAACAACGATGGTTCTTTAGAAAACCATAGAATTTAAAACTTGCAAGAAAATCCTTACCTCCATTATTTTCCAAGTAAGAGAAAGAAAGAAAGAAAGAAAGAAAGAAAGAAAGAAAGAAAGAGAAAACTGAGGTCTGTAAAGGTTAGAGGACTTACTTAGGGTCATTGACCTGGTTGGTGATGCAGTTGAAACTGGACCGCTTTCTTTTGGCCCCCAAACCAGGAATCCTCACCCCATGAAAGCATCTTCCTTACGCTATGCTCCTTGCTCAACAAAAAAGACACTTTAGATTATCTGATCATGTCCCTATCATAACCATTTCTCTATTTTATGATGTGATACTTTTATTGGGTTATTATTGGCTGTAATATAAAATTTTTCTAGGTCTCTCTCACAGTAGTTTTTCATAAAACCTATTAAACTCACCAGCTAAATAGTGGAGGCTGCAATGAAGAATCACACAGTAATAAGAATATTCTGTCATCTCCATTAAGTCACAATAATACTCCAATCTGTATTTATCACACTGGTCCTCTGATGCCTCCATCACCCAAATTGTTAGATTTATATTCTCTAATGGTTCCCCAATGGGAAAAACCTGTATTTTTTATTTTTCTTTTCCTGTCCCAAATCACCCTTTCATATCCATTGCCTGTTTTGGAACCCCCGTCTGGGTTTAATCAGAAGTTGCAAGACAAAATGTGCATTATTAAGAAATATAAATATTTTCAGAAGCAATCAAAGGGATGAAAGATTGATTCAGCATGCAGATTGGACCTAATTCGAAGCAGCTTTGTTCTAATGAGGGCTACTGGGATACAAAGTCAGGAGCCGTTGTACCACCAGTTAGTTGGAAATTCCAATGCATTAGAATAACCTGTCAGGGTTTTTTTTTTTTTTTTTGCTAGATAGGCTGAAAACATTTTTTGCAAGCTATGTTCCCCAGTCGCTGGGCAAAACCACCTTCCATACCACCCTTAGGGACTTGTAATAGGTAATAGTCATCTTTGAGAAATTATGACTAATTTGTTCTTCTCTTTAGAGTTCAGATCAGCAAGTACCTCCCTTTTCCCAACTCAGAAGCTGGCTTAGCATTAACTTTCATAAGAACATTTTGGCCTCGAGGCATCTGTATTACAATTTCTTTCTTGGCATAATAAAAGGTATCACATTATCTACCTGGTCAATCTCTATTGGCTTTCAAAATAGAGACATGGAAAAACCTAATAAGCCTCATTAGGATATCTGCTTTAAAAACAAGGCTGCTTCATTTAGCACATTGCTGTGAAATGTCCCAGCAGAGCTGGGTGGTCATTGCTTGAATACAGGTATTGCTAATTTGGGATCTTTGTTAGTCTGGTAGCTCTGAAAAAAATGCCTAATGTGTAGGTGGAATTTTAATACACAAGGGATCAAACCCAGATCCTTGTATTTTGTTTTTGTTTTCTTTCTTTCCTTTAATCCCACTTCTTGTCCACAT